AAGCTCATATCCTGCTCAAAAGCTCATTTTCTACTCAAAAGGCCATCTGCTCAAAAGCTCATCTTCTGCTCAAACGCTCCTCTTCTACTGGAAAGCTCATTTCTTCTCAAAAGCTCATCTTCTACTTTTAAGCTCATCTTCTACTCAAAAGCTCATCTTTTGCTCAAAAGCTCATTTTCTATTCAAAAGCTCATTTCTTCTCAAAAGGTCATCTTCTGCTGAAAAGCTCATCTTCTGCTCAAAAGCTCATCTTCTACTGGAAAGCTCATTTCTTCTCAAAGGTCATCTTCTGCTCAAAAGCTCATCTTCTGCTGATGTGCTTCGATATTACATCCTCATCAAGACAGTGGAGTTGGAAATAGGGCCTACTTTCCTGTTGGTCTGACATGGGACAATAAATCTAGAGACTGTGCACATCAACAGTTGTAAATCAAGATAGGCTACGATGCTGTTGTCATTGTCCTCATTGCATACTGTGTGGCGTTGTCTGTCTTAATTAAGTACAGAAATGAAGGACATTTCCTTTAAATAGACGGAGCTTATGGAGACTGTATGGATAGATTTTAATACCTTTAAGTGTAGGAAGGTGTCTCTGTTTCTACGTCAGTTTGTGTAGTTTTGGCAGACAGACAAGATTTCTCTTCCAGTTTCTTGTTTTCTTTTTTATATGATGTAATCCTGACCTTGACCATTACACTTAAACTCACAGTGGGTCAGAATTTATACACAAACCGACCAGCCTAATGTAGGTAAAACATTCATAAAAATAAGTTTACAAGTTTAACCAGAAATTAAGAGAGATATGACTTCCCTGAATGAAAGTTTGAGAGATTGAGGGGAATTTGGGAGTGACAGAAACTGAAATTGAGACTCCATTAAGGGAGGGTTTTAGGTGTGAAGGAGACCATGTTGCCTGCAAACATGGACCAATGATGAAAGCCAATAGTTTCTGGTTGGAGTTTTATACATACCAGACTGAGGTTGGTTTTCAAACCCAAAAACAAAACCAACCAACTGTAACAACCAATCCACCTGTAACAACCAACTGTAAAGAATGGATAAGAATGATTTTACACTGAGGCAATATTTTTTTAGGGGTATAAAGTGACTTTAACTGGAGTTTATTTGGTTGGTAATTAGTATGTAGAAGATACTTAATTAATTAATGAGAGTTGGCACGTCTCACGTCTCTGTAATTACCTGTTCTTACTACTACTATAGTACAGGTACAATTTAAACCTGATGGGACTTTAAAACTCGTCTTGTTCACAGAGAGTGCACTAAATATATTATTGACATTTGCCCATTTCAACTCATTATATTTTTCAACAAGTCAACTTTGCTAATATTGTATATGTAATATATAGTTGTAATCCTTTTTAGAAATAGGTTATTTCTTTCTATCTGAAGTGAAATTGAAGATTTAACAGAATATGTTAAAATTAATTTACAATATGATTGCTATCACAAACACTGGGTATTCCAAATTGTTTTTTTTTTGGATGGCTGAATGAGTCAGACGCTTGCTCGCAAACCTGAAGGACAAGAATTCAATCCTTGAAAAAGAATAGGCTAATGCCGCTGTCCTGGCAAAATTTGCTGCATGGCATTGCCATTCTTCATTAGCCTAGAAAAGGTGTAGAATAGTAGGACGTTAAAGGCCATTCAATTTGGAAATGATTTGAGAAGATAAAAAAATTGCTGAATGATGCGTTCTGGTCTGAAATGGAAGCTAGTCCAGAGAACGTGGGTGGACAGATTTCAGTAAAAACATTTTAAAATATTTTATTTCATCATGTAGCGTTCAATTTAAAATACACTTAAGATTGTTTGAAAATAATTTGTTTTTTATTGTTTGGTGAATTGCTTGAAGATACTGATGGTTGTTAAAGGGATTGTAAAGAGGTATTCTAAAATTTTCTGTGTATTGGGGACACTGATAGCATGCATTTCCAAGATTCAGTCAGATGTTTGTGGTGCCTGCAATTCCACATATAGTATGTGTTTGATGACGTCACTAAGCGCAGTAATTATATTCTTTTATCACAAAATGTCTTTTGAGATTAGTGACGACATCAAACACATAGTTTTAGTGTTACTGCAGGAACCACAGACGTCTGACTGGAAATTGGAATGGTGAAAATTGATGCTATCAATGTTCCCGATACACATAAATTTAAAAAAAAAACTCTTTACAATTCCTTTAATAAAGAAAAATGAATTATTTTTTCCGTGGTCCAAAAATTAGATCAAAGCAATTTGTTTTTAAAAGGTTTTACAATTCTTTTGAAAAGGTCAGTAAGCATGTGATATTTTGAAATTTGTCTTCATGGTTAAAATTGATAAGTGAAAGATCAAACAGTAGATTCAGGACATCAGTTCAACAAGCATGGTAAACAATTGTTTTATTGTTTAAAGTAACTGGATCACTAAGTTTAAAAAATCTATGATTCGAAGAATTTTGCACAGAATGTGATATACTACTCCTCAATTCCCTTCTAATATGATTTAAACTCAAGGCCCAATATGTGATATGTATATAAAAATAAAACAAAATAGGTATTTAAGAAAGTTTATCATTGCACCAATACTTGATTCTTTGTGGCACTAGACAGGGTATACTTACTCTTCTAGTCACTCTAGTTCCTCTTCTAAATCACCACCTCATGTATGTCTATGAAAAATTCATTATCTGCTATTGTCAATATGTTGTTCTGCATTTCAGGTTTCATTTTGCAGTTCGATCAATAGTGCCAGTACCTGTTTTTTTTTTTCTAGTCTTATCGGAAGAAATTAGAACTTATATATAACTCCCATTTATTTGAGTTTTAAGCCGGCTATATGTTACCAATTGTCTACATAAGTTCAATCAAGTACAGCATACCTTTATTGTTATACAACATTCGTATTCTGAAGTTTGAAAAATATGTCCCCATTATCATCAGGATATTTCTTGAGTTAGTTTGGAGGAGTTGTTTGTTATGACAGGAAGTTCCTCCTACTCCTTCCTTTTAATATCTTTAATTCCATGGTTCATTATTGGAATTATGTTAGAATTAGAATTACACAACCTGTCAGAGTGCTTGCTTTTAGTATATCTGGACTGTTCATTAAGGGTATATTCTCAAGGACTTATGATTAAAGTCCATGTTTCGCTATTTTCAGGGAATTATTTGAGTCTTGAATATTTAAAAGGTCTTTAGAAGAACTATGACTGCAAGAAAATTGCATAATCTTTTCAAATATACTTCAAAGTAGAAATTTCTCTTTCTATTTCTATGTCTTTTGTATATATCGCGGGGTTTTAAGAAAAGACAAGTCGTCATTTTAACTTCTAAACTTTGAAGGTTCACAATGTTTCAAATTTTGTTAGCCATCTGTGAGCATTATTACTGATTAGCTTAACTAAGAAAAAATTCTGAGACTAAGATACACTTGGTCAAACAGATGGTGAACATGTCTCTTAAAAGGTATGTTCTCAAGGATTCATGATTTAAGTGAAATGTTTGCTTTATTTTTTGATAGAGCTCAATTTCTACTTTCATTTTCAGAATTAAACTTTATCATCAAATTCTCTGATTAAATAAACATGTACTTTATGCTGTATTTTTTGCCTCTGGGAAATACGACTTCCGAAATGGTATATAGCATTCGTTACTTTAAATTTTATCGGAAGTCATGTTTTCTATTTGAGAACTCGGGTAGCTAATGTTGGGCAACCAATCAGAATTATATAATGGACACGCGTGATATGATTATTATGCAAATAAAGTACATTTCTCTCTAGAGTGCATGCGTCTGTACTAATTTTTCAAATGTGTTCCGAAAAGAATCAAGTAGTAATTACAACTACCTAGTAAGAAACTTCCCAAAAGTTCCCACTTCCCAGGATAACAAATACAGCATTAGATACCCCATTAGATATTATTAGCATCACTTGTGATTTCATAAAACAATTCTTTTAGTGGAATCATAGTAACCATATATATCTGAATGGTGCAAATCAATACATAAACTTAAATAAATCAGAATTCCGGAAATTGAAATGGGTGGCTTGGAATGCCATTTTTCTGCTCCTAGAGAAAAAAAATAGAAATTTAGTTTGAGTGATGAAAAAATTCCTATATAGACAATGACTTCCAAAGCATCTTAAAATGGTAGAGTCTCCTCTTTCACCCCTCATAGAAGTCTCTGGCTTCCTTGACTCTCATCTGATATTTTCCATTTCCTCATCATTTTTATACGCCCACATCTCTTTATGTGGACGTATATTGTCGGCACCCCTGTCCGTCCGTCGGTCCGTCCGTCAACATATGCTTGTAAACGCTCTAAAAACTAGATTTTTTGATGGAATCAAATGAAATTCGGTAAGTGTATACATATTTATAAAATGAAGATCAGTTCGAATTTGAGCTATTTTCAACCGTTAGAAGAAGAGTTATTGCCCTTGCCCCAAAATCTTGAATATGCTATTACTCTATTAGTTTTCATTCGATTTTGATGAAACTTAAAATGGATGTTTCGTTTTCACCATCCACATGCCGTGCTGTTGCCCACTATCTTTTTTCATCACTGTGATCCTTGAATTATTATTGATGACGTCTGATATCAGTTATATCTGCACATGAATGGTGCCATGAGGTGATAAAAGTCACATGTTATACATTATTTAGACCTAAAGCCTGAGATGGATAGACTATACTTTATTTATCAGCTTGCAACCTAAATAATTAATTCTCTATCTGACTGTAATAGCCCCGTCACACTGCATTGTAACCATGTTTGATCATACGTCAATCTGGAAACGTGAAGAAAACCCCAAAATAATTCTATAAAATTATAAATTCTATAACAGTGGCAGTGGAAATGGTACAATATGTCACCTTATTGCTTTCCAAAGGTCGTTGGTAGAAAGGATCTGCAGGAATCGAAGTTGTTATCCTTGTTAAAAACAATTTTTTCTTTCTTTAAATTAATGTAAAGTTTTGTTATAATTTCAGGTTTGATATCCTATACAGAATACCTGTTTCTACTTTGTGTTCTCACCAGTAAGTACATTTTTATTTTATTTTTTATTCCAAATACAGAAACTAGCCTTCTACAACAGTCTTGACCCATAGTTATATCATCAATTAATTGAAAAGCTCACACTAGTATCAAAACCCTTGTAGAATTGGTCTCATTAAATTTCAAGGTTAAGGGCTGTGTCCTTGCATATTCTTCTCCAAGGTTTAAAAGACCCCAAAAACAGTGAAGTTAAAAAGTGGGCTACAGGGTGTTTCAATGAGATTTTATCACGTATCCTTGCATAAATGCATTAATAGAATTATGGCCCTTGTCCACTCCAAAAGATCCCAGGTTCAATTTAAACTATAAAATTTTGGCTTATCAAGTTATATTTTGATTCAAATTTCATAAAACAAAATGTTTCAGTTGTAGACTTCAAATAGATCCTAATAGTTATAGAGACAGCCGAAAGTTTCCTTATAGTTCTAGAATAAGCTGAAAATTTTCATGAAAAATACAATATGATTTGATTTGCAGATCATCATAATGAATTTTAATTTTGGCCAATCATGTAATATTGGATCACAAAAAGGGTCATTTTTATACGTGGACGTATATTGTCGGCACCCCTGTCCGTCCGTACATTTGCTTGATTTTTTGATGGAATCAAATGAAATTCGGTAAGTGTATACATATTTATAAAATGAAGATCAAGTTCGAATTTGAGCTATTTTTGACCGTTAGAAGCAGAGTTATTTCCCTTGCCCCAAAATCTTGAATATGCTATTACTCTCTTAGTTTTCAACCGATTTTGATGAAACTTAAAATGGATGTTTCGTTTTTACCATCCACATGCCGTGGTGGACGTATATGGTTGTGGTCCACTATCTTAACTTGTAAACTGTGATGTGATACTGCTTTAATAGAACCCTGATAAATTGGCTACTGTAGAAGATAAGTGTTAATATAAGGTGTATAAATTACAGTCTATATATATATATATCAAACTATATTGACAATATCTCAGGTAGTTGATGATTTACTATGTATTAAAGATAACATAACCCCACAGAAATCGAACTGGACAGTGTAGAAATATCTGTGAAAGGTTGCAATCTTGAACATATATCAAAACATTAGAGTGTAGTGTAGGGCTTGGTATTGATTACCAAATTGAGATTGATTATCGATGGCAGACTACCAATCAATAATCAATTAATAATTGAAATAATTTAATTGAAAAACCTGGTAAATACTAAATTAAAAACATGCCAAAATTCTTATTTTCATGGGTAATTTTTGCGTCATAGAAGTATATTCTTGCTTTGATTGGCTATGATAGTTTATTGTGGGTATATTATGTGCTGAAGGAAACCTATGTGGATGAGATTACTACCTATTAAAGGGTACAGTGGAGAAAATGTAACTTTGACACATCAATTTTGAAATTTGTTAATCGATAAAATTCAAAATTATAAATTCCCAGCGCCAATAATCGATTATTTCGATCTTTTTACCAAACCCTAGTATAGTGTGATGATTAATAAATATTTCCTCATTTTCGAATAATTAAATCATGATTCTGTTTACATAGTATCACACAATTTGATTGGATAACAGTGGTCACATGCGGATTATATCTGTGTAAAAAGAATGTAAATATAAGCTCCGCCCCTTAACGGACTACTTTTATTATTGAGTTTGATTGACGTGGCCACTATACACGGCATCGATGTCGTTCCTTCGACACTTCACTAAATGATGACAGTATTTTCGAAATTCTCTCGAATGTGCACACTCAAAATTGCAACAATATAATGAATTTTGGACTTATTTCGAACTCGTCTTTCAATAATTGCACTTTCAACGTGGCCGCTCTGTCAAATTTCAGACAGACAACAGTTAAGTAGACTATAAATAAGGTGACCTACTTATTGCTGATTGGCTGTTCAGTTCATTAGCGCTATGTTAAAATTTTTTGTATTTATGCGCCAATTTTGTTATATTAAAAACATATTTAACCGCTACACGTTTATACCTCAATAAACTTAAAAAATGTTCAGGTCATTTCTAATTAATATAATTCCTCATATGAATTGTTCATTTGCTGCTATATGTTGTTTTCAATTTTTGGTTTCGATTTTGGGGTGCGGATTGTAATAGAACTGTTTCAATGTAATTTTTTTTGTAACATGATTTACGGAAGTTCAAAAATATAAACTTGAATATTTTGGTCAAGAAATATATGCCTTGACTCAATAAAACTTGAATTGAAAAAATTTCTTTCAAGGTTTTGACTATGAAAGCAGTAAAACTACAAACATAAAATACAAATTTATCACTAGTACATAGTATGAAGTAAATTAGTTAAAATTTCCTTCAATTTAAAGATTTAACATAAATGTGGGGAGGATATGGATATTAAAATGTTGTTAAAAGATATGACTTGTAAAAATGTTGTTAAATTTGTTATTTACTCCCACTAATAGCAGCTTATCTTGACAGTACTTCATCAGATAACCTTCAGATATAAACCTTACTAAATACTCTCTACTTTTTATAAACCTAGTTCAACCTAGATTAGTCTAGCTAATGATAAGTGGTTAACCTGGGGAAAGTGAGAGAGGGACAAGGGTGAGCTTTTTGTCAGTGATTACTTATTACTGGTGTAAATTTGAACCCTTGAGAGATTCCTTACAGGGGCGATCTCACTAAATATTTCTAAACTTTTTATAAACCTAGTTCAACCTAGATTTGTCTAGCTATTGATAAGTGGTTAAACTGGAAGATGGGGTAAGTTGGGGTGGGTTCACTCTAGCTAACTTTATTGCTTATTACTACTATTTATTAAACGACATCCCTACTACAGGATACCGGGGCAACAGGTTTTATAAAAAGAATACAGGTTTTATAAAAAGGGCTACAGGTTTTATGACAAGGTGTTCAGGGCTACGGTTTTGATAAAAGGGGATACATGTTTTAGGGTAGGATACATGGTTTATGAAAGGGGATATGATGGGGATACAGGTATTATAAAAAGGGATACAGATATTATGAAAGGGGATACAGGTTAGAGGTATCAGAAAAAGGATTTGTGCAAATTTGTGAGAATAGTTGCAGGTAACTACTTACTCTGTTCTAATTTTTAACCATCGAATATTTCAATCTTTGGGATTTTTAACTTCAAAAAGATTGTTGTTTCTGATGAAAAGAAAAACGTCACAATGTAATCTAAATCAAAATATTTCACTTTTATATCTTGGTACTACTTGATACTTAGTACCAATACACCGACTATCATTACAAAATATTAAATACCTACCATTCGTTACAGTCTTTAATAATACTTCCTCTAAACAGTGTCATATATCAAAGCTAGGTGACTTTTCATTCATACTATTTTCCTTTTCTTGTCAATGACATTTTTGTGATATACTAAGACTAGACGAACTAGTCTAGGCTTTAGACCACCACTATTATCACTGTAGTCAACCGACCCCTATTTAATAAGTCCTTTATGAAGTTAAAAGTCCTAAGAATCAGCTTTAAATTGAAAGAACCTAGCTAGCTGGCTGGCTGACTAGCTGGCTGGCTGGATCCCAGAGATCACAGTAAGAAAAAAGACTTGGATGTACATATCATCTCATCTCTCAACTTTAAGAAACAACTTGTCTGAAATTTGAAATCAAACCACAAAAAACACCAGAATATATCCTTTCAATAACAAAGTAAATTATAGTATATAAAAGCAATTCTTCATTTTTTCTGAAAATGAGCAGTTGATGTGGAATTGCCCATGGATATTATAAAAAAAAACAAATATAAACAATATAAAATTTATAAACTAGATTTTCCTGTGATGCATACATCTTTTACAATGCAACAAAATTTTGAAATACTCTGGATAGAAAGTGATTTAGCACTCAAAGACCTCACAATTTTCATTTTCACTCCCTGATGATCTGAAATGGCTACTTAATGGTATCTTCAGTGATCTTCAAAGCCCCAAATCACATTTTTCATTAACCAAATCAGGTGTAGGAATGTAGGACATAAAACTCCATTCATTTCATTTAGTGAGGACCACACAGTTTACCGTACCTACCTACCTATCTACCTGTATTGTGGTCCTAGTAGAATGGACAGGTGTAATATAGTAACAACCAGGTATTCAGGTCTATAATTACAGTGGTGAGAGATCAGTAATTACAGGGTAGCCCAACCTCTAGACTAGTTTGTCGTCTACAGTACTGAATGCCTCGTACTAGACTAAAACTTGATCTGTCAATAACCTTGGCCTAGTCACAACTGTCTCTTTGTAAGATGAGGGCCGTCTGGGACATCAACTGGTGTTTTTATTTCTGGTTTAGATATAGCCACAAGGTTTGACGAAATTTGTTGAGTTACTGCCCTTCACTAGACAATAATTAGATGAAGATTGAACATAATAAACTGCTCATTGCTTATTTTCTACCCATACTAACTCTTTCTTATCCTTTGTACTTAACAGAGTTGACCACCCTGAAAAGAAAACTTACTCCCTCACCCCCTCCTCCTCCTAATTCTATCAACTTTCTGCTCATCCCTCCTATGATAATAAACTTGTGAAACCCCCTCCTGGTAATTTTTGATAGCAAATCAATTTTTTGACTTCACTCACCATCTCTGGGTCTCTTTACTACCCTTTACACCTTGCAGAGTTAGTCTCTGTTCCCCTTTTCCTCAACCCCAACTCCCTTCTACCCCCGCTTCCCTCGGTATATCTTACACCTTCATTCATGATATGTGCAACCTCCAGCTAATTTTTAATAGCAAATCATTGTTTATGATTCCCCATCACTGGATCTTACCAATCCTCTTTACACCATGCAAAGTTAGTCAGTCTGTCCCCCCTGCTTCTCACGCCCACAACTCCCTTCTACCCCCGCTTCCCTTGGTATATCTTACACCTTCATTGATGATAAAATCATGAAACCCCCAGCAGGTGATTTTTGATAAGCAGCCATTGTTTGTCTAACTATTTCTGTTGTGTTTGTTTCGT